AGATTTCTTTTACCTCAAATCTGCCAGCTTCATAAGTATTTATTTTATCTTGACTGCTTGTGTTCTAGATTTTATGAACTTTGTTATTTGTTTATTAATCTTCTTTCATCCCTGAAGTTGTATGATCTGTAGCTTCTGTTTTAGCCACTGGGTTAAGTGTTGTTTCACTAATTAAACTCACCAAATGGAACTCCAATTTAAATGCTTGCTTTAGTGTTGTGTTTTTATCTGAAAGAATTGAACACCAGTTTTAGAACTGCCTGTTTCATCTGTCATAAGGATAAGTGCCTAACACATCTAAAGCAGTTTAATTATTCTTTACGAAAAGCCCATAAAGGTTTGTGGATCAGGTATTTTTGGTTTATGGTGCCAAAACAACCAAAACAAAATTTTTTGCAATTATTGTTATTATTTCACGTGAGGAAACATTGAACAAATTGTATGTTTTTTTTTTATTGTTGTCAATAAGTGTTAGCTTCAACAAACCCCGTCTCCCACTAGCTTAACCTATTTACACAGAATACATACAGTACAGTATTTCTATTATCAGTTGATCAAATAAAATCACACATTTTACCCTTTAAAGATTTTGTTGCAGTTGACAAGTTACCTTAACGTAAAAAAAAATAAAATAAAATAAATTAAAACTTAAAAATAATCAGTTTATGATTCAATATTCTTCTAGAAGGCAGGAATTATTGGAACAGGTTTAAGCTGTATATTTCTGTTCAGTTTGTTTGAAGGCTGTTCAATAGTCTAGCTGTTTCTCCCATTTTTAGACCATTACTGACAAGTGTATTTTCATATATACACAGTCTTTAAGTATATAAAACACTTCATATTTGGCAACGGTTAAAAAGCTATATTGGACTAAAATATTGGCATGTCTCAAGTAGTGCCAGCAGGTTTTCCTTTTAAACATTTTAGGAAGACTAAACAAGAAAAGTAAAAATAATTATCAAACCCAGAGTAGAAGACAGAATAAAGTAAAAATGAAAAATACATACAATTTATATTTTGGTCAGATGTATTTACTACATTCACTATCCACTTTATAAGGTACGTATGTTTGATTATTTTTGATGGTATGGTTGCTGGGGCCAGATGAGCTGATTTTACCATTTCAGAAACTGCAGCTCTTCTGAGATTTTCTCAATAAGTCATCTGGTTACAGAGAATATTCACATAAAAAGGTAAACATCCAATCAACAGAAGTTGTATGAGTAAAGACTATTGTGTATATTTCAGAGCAACTTTTGGAAGGGGAACAGTGGAAGTTAAGATGGCAAGAGGAGCTCAAATGACCACTTGCTACAACCGCAGCATACTGAATTATCATATATGAACTAACAACACATAAAAAAAAAACCAAAAAAACATTTTAGCAGTAAGGCTGCAGTAGCCAAGGATAATATTGAGTTTTGGTTTGGAGATCTAACATAGATATCATTTGAAAATCTCCTCAACAAGGTAAGAAAACCTTGGCTGGTCGGTTCTTGATTTGAAGCAGCAACATTCGGATGGGAAGGTTTGCATATGAAGTAACCAAACTCATGGAGCTGGGCTGCCATATGGCAAGCAGTAGAATAAAAGGAACCTACTAGGGTCAGGTCATGTTCTTGTTGGGGCAACAACAACAACCATTTCCGAATACCACTAGAGGTTTAACATAATATTTGGCCAAAATCACAATGTTACAATTCCTCCCTAAGTTCACCCTGAATTTCTTTGTAAACAATAGAAAAAGAACAAATAAAAGACTTACAGAAATTCTTTTTCAGAAACAATTATTTTGGTATAATTTTCTAATTTGGCAGCCTATCCGTAATTGTCTCCTGATTGGTTAAAATCCCAAATAACTTAACAAATAAATGGCACATTAGACCCCAACAAATGCATACACCTACAGTACATTTTAATTCAGAATTTAAAAAAATATAAAGTAATCAATACACTTTCTTACTGTCGATGAACTTGGTTTAGCAACACATTTGTCAAATGTGGGATGATTCAGTATTATTATTGGTTTTTGTGTCTTTTTATATAATTTTTGTGATGCACTAAATCCATGAACATCCTTAGTTTCTTTTTATTCAATTAAGAGTTGGGAGGACTATGGACTATCTAACAAACAGGATCCCAATGCAAATAAGGAATGCACACTCACATCTATGGACAATTTTCCATTTCCTCGTATCATTGGAAACTTACATAATACAAAAAAACAAACAAAAAAAAAGAAATCCAAAGGCCATTCAAGCAGTTTTTCTAAAAGAAGATTTCCTTTTTTGTCTTAGGGGAAAAAGCATGGCTTAATACGGGCTAATGAAAACTGATGAAACAGCTATTGAAACTTTTTAATGATGTCAAGGTCTCTCTATTTTGTTCTCTTTCTTTACAATAAAAGAAATTTGCCATGTGACATAACAACAAAGATGGGTCTGTGAAAAATGATTAAGCGAGTCATCAGTCTGGACCTGAATCTTGAAACTTCATTCAACGTGAAACATTTGTAAAACAGTCTCAACAATGCACCCAATGTTATCATTTCATTTACTCGTCAAAGTTCATAATAAATGGACTTTAAAGTCAAATAAAGCATTACAAAAATAATTGATAATACTATAAAACAGACAATTGTGGTGTTCGATCAAAAACATCCATGACATATTTTTTTTTAGTTTTGCTTTACAACTGATCCTCTAATAAACTCAAATCCTTTGCAGAATGACAGCATATTAAATTGGCTGAAGAATCAAAGAATTTGCACATCTCTTTATTCTCATTTCAATTAAACTTTGAACTTTTCTGTTCAGCTCACAACCTCCTTTTTTTCCTTCCGGATTTTAATTGTTCTCGTTAATGTGTGACTGTTAATTGTTTGTTTTTCACTTGTTTTCTGGGGCTATATGTGGAGTTGTTTGCAATAAAAGATTTAATCAAATCCTCTTCATTATTCCGGCTATTTGTTTTTGGTTTTATTCAGCTTTGTTTTTCTTTTTACCCATTAAATGTTTCAATCCATTTACTCATAATTAATTGAATAAAAAAAAAAAGAAGTGAATAAATCAACAATATAAATCGTATCTATTATATTAAGAATAAATATAATGAAGCTAAACAGCGAAAAATCCTGGAGTTGCTAACCAATTTCTCTCAGCTGCTGGTAAATCAGACAGTGTAAAAAGAAAACCCACTCATTGTTATTTATTCATTTATTTAATTCCCCCCAATTCCTACATTTATGTCCATTAAATACATATTTTGTATATCACAGGTGCACCACTTTATGTTTTTGTAAGGAAAACAACTCCTGGCAACAGCAACTGTACTGCTATGGAGTCATTACTATAGCAGCTAAATAGCTACCATCAACCTGCAAGGAAAAACCCTTTAATGATGTTCAGATCTACATTTTCAGCCAGTTTAGCAACCTCAAGTTGCGAAATAAACTTGCCAAACTACTAATTGGTAAAGTCAATTGATCCACTTTGAATGCGTACCTCTGTGCCATGCATGTTCTGATACAGATGCAAAAATCATTTGGCCAGAAATAAGAATTAGACATTTTTCCTTAAAAGAGTTGTGAACTGCCGTCGGGCTTATCTTTGAAAAAAAAAAAAAAATGTGTTGGTAAAATACCAAACAAATTGTATTTTACTTATCCTGACCCTCAGGTCAACTAAATAAGGATTCCTTGCTAACTAATGATAAATCTGTAATTCTTTAACCTGGTCAGTCCATAAATAATGCCTCTGTCATTATCTCTTTTATTTGCTATTCTCATATACAGCTACCAATATCAGCTACTAAAATTCCCTAGTTATTTACTGAAAATAAATAAATAAAATAAACATCAATATAATGTGTATCTTTGAACAAGTAAATATTTTTACTAAGATGTAAAGGATAAAAGAAAAACTTCACAGATACAGGAAGGGAACACTTGAAGGCACACTATAATGTGCAATCTACTTTTGGCATCAAGTTCCATGGGGCTCATCTTTTCTATTGGATGTTCCGTATGCTAATCTTGTCACATACTTGTCACATAAGTTTATGAAAAAGCAGAGGAAGGTGTCAGAGGAAAGGATAAGACCAGAGTATAGTTTTGAGATTCTTTCACATGAAAGTACCTAAACTGTGGAACTCTCTCCCCACTGAACTGAAACTACAGATGAATTAAAACAGTGGCTGAAGTCGCTGCAGAGTTGTTCCGATAAAGATGTGAATTCATAGGTGTTAAATAATTTATATAATTGCATTTTAAACTTTCTGCTAGTGTATGTGCAGAATTAAAACATTTTTAAGCCCCCTCTGGCCTGGTGTTGAAAATTAGCACATGCACATGCTAACACACTCAAGCATTCCATCTGGTTTGTCCAATGTATAAAGTACGTGATGTCCATATGAAATAAATAAATAAATATATAGAATTAAAAGTAGATTGAAAATAATGAAGTGCGGGTAGGATGGCCTTATGCACATGGGGCATTTCAAGAAGTGACTAGGAGGTTCCCTACCTACATTTCCAGAAATTGCATGTGCAGTTTCATTGTTAGCACTTGCAATAAGTGGGCAAGTTGCAAGTGATCTTTAATGATTATTACACAAATGCTAAGGTGTGCAAACCATTTTAGTGATGCCCATTAAAATGAGGAGATTGCGTCGTCTACAGGCAGTTTTTGAGTGGCAGTAAAAGAAGATCAGTTTCAAAACCTTGTAGATTGAAGAAATATTGATAAATAAAACATAATTTCCACCCCTTCAATGTTTTTTTCAAACTCAATTGATATTCAATTTTTTATGCAAGTTATTTTCTTTAAAGATATTTTTCTAAGTACAGCTTTTGACCCGTTTCACTGAGGATTTATGATTGTTTTAAGGAAAATATGAACCTTACACCAACTTGCAGTAATTAAAAGTGTGGTTTCATCCAGATATCTGACTGACGCCTATCCTCTTGTCTCTTTTGGGTGGTTTTCTGGCCATATCCTCAGTGTAAGTGAAAACGAGGCCTGGAGCCATGGGCTGGGAGGAGAGATGGCAGCCAGGATGGCACACTGACTGGAGGAGCGCCAGCTGCTCTCATTCAGGTAGGGATCCTTGCCAATTTCATCTCCGTTCACACCCTCCTTCCTGCGTATGTCTGAGTCAGTGGCCGTCACGCTGGCTGACATTCATAGTTTGTTACCCACAGAACAGAGACACTGCTTTGTTTCCATTACTTTATCAGTCACCCTTCACACGCAGAACATGATACAGAAACATAGGAAGTTAACCTCATTGGCTTGGCTGGTGAGACTGGTAAAGTTAAGTGAACTATTTTAAAAGCTATGTACAGATCCTGATTGATAGTACAGAGGCTAAAATGGATTGGGTTTCACAGATAATAGTTTTTCTTATAATGTGGATCTTTATAAGAAGTGTAAAAGCATAATTCAAACACCCGTGTAAATAATTAATATAAATCCATTAGTTCTACAGTAAAGAACATTTGTTTGAAAACTTCAAACCTTTTTCTCACTCTGTTGAAGTCGTCTATGGTTTATTTAGATGATAAAGGTTAACAATTCGCTTTATTGCAGTTTTTTTGTGAAGTTATTAAGATTTAGTGTAATCTAAAATGCTGCTTAGACTCCCAAGAACTCTACTTTTGATTGCTTACAATATTACTTACCACTTAAGATACAGCAGTATAATGTAGTAATAGGCCAAATGCCAAAAGATAGTCAGACTAGTAGAAATGCATTTAAAAGAAATGGAAAAATCCAAATACAAGCTGGGCCAGATGAGTAAAGACCATCAAACCAGCACCAGATCAATGATGCGCTTATTAGAGAAGGATTTTCTTTAAAGTGTATATTTTAATTCAAGTTTTCCTATGCTTGTGCTCAGGCTTTTGAATCAAACTTGTTTCCAGGTGGAAAAAGCAAGAACAATTTTCAGAAAGTGTCAAACAGTCAGCTCCAAGAATCTAGAGGCAACGTGCAGAAGAGAGATGAGAGGTTGACCACCAAACCTACCTTCACTAGAATACGGCTACTTAAGATGGATGCTGTTATCAAGATCTATTTTCTTTTAATTAATGGTAATGGTTATGACAACTGTTAAACATTTGTTTTATATAATAAGGAACAAAACATTCAGATTAAGACATTCAGACATAGAGCAGTCCACTGACCCGACAGACACTGGATTGAATATACTCTATTCTGGAGGCGTACATTTCTAAGTTGTTATGCACTTGGACTGATGATTTCTAAAGGGAAATACACTCACATGCAGTTTTATCAGATAAACCTTTCAAGTACAGCATTAAATCCTCAAATTCTTTCAGAAATGCAGTAGTTATTGGTTGTATAGTTTCAACAAGGTCTCAGAAATTTTTCTTAGAGATTTTCTTTATATAAGCAATGGGCCATCAGACAGTCATTGATTCATGATTGCCAGTCTCTTCTTACACTACCACCCAAGTTACTTTGCCGAATTGAGATCTGATGATTCCGAAGTTCAGTTAATTGCTGTCCTCTTAAATAAAGAAACTGATATAATTTGACATGATGTAAGCTCGATGATCATCATCCTGCTGGACAAATCCAAAATGTTGATCATAACAGAATCAACATGGTCAGCAGCTACACTCTGGGAGGTGATGAGATGCAACTAAAATGATATTAAGAAGAAACTCTACAAACCATCAGCCCATGCTGCTGATCCAAGAGAGCATTCATGTCAAACTATGGAGGTTGCAGCTAAAATAAAGACTCACATGAACAGGTTACATTTACTTATGATGTTATGCTCCAACATTGTTGTTGGGGGTTCAGATATGTTATTCCACATTATTTGACAGTAAAAAAAAAAGGTTAAATTACAGTGATCTTTTTGTCCCCTAGATCTGCTCTTCCTTATTATCACTGATCGTCGACGTGAACATGAAACTTTCATCCACACCTTTTGGGCTATCCCCTGTAAACCTGGGATGCTTGTTCCCCATCAGTTGATCAGCATTTTCTGAAATATTAAGACCAGCTTGTCTGGCTTGAAATCATTTAAATCCTCTTTGTTCCCTTTCGTCATGCCAATTTTGAACCTTTGCTATAAATTCTTTCATAGACTGATTCGGTTTGTGAAGTTTTATTTGAGATGTTTTTTATTATTCTCTAAGCCTTTGGCTTGAGGGGTTGTGCATTAAAATAATAACTCTGATTCATGCTTAACAATAGTGTAAATCATGTGTTTTCAAAGTGATTTATTCTTAGCTTTGGAGTGCCAACCTATAGTTGTTTCCTCAAATATTGAACATTGAGAAAATGCTTCAATAAGATTTGCTAAATATTTCACAGAGGGTAAATAAGTCAACACTTTGAGCAGTGCTTGCTTATTTTCATACTTGAGTAAGGCTACAGTAATCTCCACATGGAGTCTAACATGGTTTTAACACTGCCAAAGGACAGTCACTATAACTGGCTCCAAGACAGCTTGAAAACATCAGGTGTTTTATTGCTCTGGCCAAACTGCCCTCGGCTAACACACTCCAGTGTTTATATGGCTCAGCAAGAGCCAAATGATCCTCTCAACATGCAGGTCAAAAGCTATGAACTCAACAATGGGCAGTTGCCAGGGAACATGGAGAACACGGCCTGCCAATTGCAACAAGCCTGTGGCCAGACGGTGAGAGCAGAGAGTTAAGGAACAGCCAAGTGGTGTCCAGTGAGGGTCCCCCTGTTTTAGTGTTGGCCAAACAACGCCTCCGGGTGGAATGGACCATCTCAGTACAACTGGTGTGTGTATCCGAGTTTGTAAACTGGGTAATTACCAGTCAAAGCATGTCTACTCAGGCTCTTTTTGTTTTCTATTAGTTAGGAATGTCCATGGGAACATTTCAGGTTATTCCTTTTTTTTATTACCCATTTAAAGTTTTTTACATTATTTATAATATGTCAAATAAAAAACGTATTGTACAGTACACTCTTTGCTTGATAGTACATAATAGCTGCTGATGGTCTGGAGAATACATATGTGTGCTAAGCCAGTGCCAAGCAGGAATTACCTCTGATTGGCAATAGTTTCAGTACTGCAACTTAATCTGAGGAGGTGTGTAAGACCATTTCAAAATTTAAATTCTACTTAAATTCTCTATTTGAAAACAAATGTTTTTAAGCAAAGAAAAATTTTCTCTTGTTTTCCCCAAATGAAAACATTGCCAATATTTGATGTCACAGGAAATTCAAACTGTTTGCAGACTGTGGAATATTTAGAAGAATGGCAGATACTTAAGGGGTCCAACCTAGACTCAGTCAGGATCTAAAATTTTAAAATCAGTGACATGACAGTTTAGAAAAGAAAAAGGAAAAGGTCTGATGGCAAAAATTTCATTATAACATAGCAGAAACATGGCAGAATGACTTGGACTTCATCTAAATAATGAAGCATTACACTCCGGAACAACACAGCCAAGAAAGGCTGAAAATGTAGGCTCTTTTTTTTGCTTAGTGACTGAAATAATCTAGAATAAAAAATAATGTTGTCTAAAGATTAACCTAAACCTGGTTAGCTTTTAAATCATCAAATGGGAAATCAGTTAATCTTTTGCCTGAATGGGCAGGGCAGGCCTTTAGAAGGGCTTTCTGTGAGTGGTACACCTTCACCCAGTCTCTGCATACAGTACAGGTATCATTGGGCTGGATAAAACACATGCACATGCTCCTCTATGGGCAAAGCTGAATTTACAGCCAAGTCCACTTACAGACCATGAGAGGATAAACACTCAATTTGGCCAAATACACAAAGACTCGGCCAAAACTATCCCCAGTCCTTTCACGGCCAAAGGCATTTGCAGCCCAGTCCTGCTCAGCGGGGAATAATCTTGTTTAGCTTTCCACTTCTCTGGAACAATCCTTCAGAGGCAGAAACCAGAAAGTAGTAGAAGGAGGGGGTGATGAAAAGCTGGACAATCAAATATCACAGTGTTTAACACTTTATTTTTAATCCCTACCGATCCCATTCTGCCACTGTTAATTGCTGCAGTGCTACCTGCCACTAGTGATTTCTGAAATGACTTCTGAATTGAAGCATATGGATGAGGAGCCGCTCAGGGAGCTACGAGCGACTTGAGGAAGGGTCCCATTAAATAAGAGCTAGCTAATTACGTTGTCCTCACTTTTTTGTCCTGCACTATCCGAGTCCTCCCTGCCATTCATATATCTTTTTGTAATGAGTTAAGCCAGGGCCTGGCACCTGCGCTTGGTAATTAAACATATAAATTCTCCCCTCACAGAAATATGTGGACTCACCAGGATTGATTTATAGGGCTTTGTAAATTACACCATTGAGCTTATTTTCTCTGGCTGCGTTCTTTCTAAGGGGCTGGAATAGAATTAGACCGTTTTAACCTCCTCAGTGCAAGAAAGTCTTTTAAAAAATATATTAGTTAGATTTGCCTTTTTTCAAGTGTAACTGTGAAGTTGATGATTGTAAAACTTGTTGGCACCCCACAGCATTGAGGAATGAGAGGTTAAACCTCAACAGCAAAGTAAATCCTTTTAAAATATATCAGTTAATTTGGTTCCAAGTATCACAAGTCAAAGGCACGTTTGTGGTTCCTTCTTGTTAAGATTTTTACTATATTTCATTCACTTTTCTGTTTTCTTTAAGTTATTCTATTTTTTAAATATATATTCTATCAGACTTTGAATGCATACTGACATCACAATACTATCAGTTTTGAATATTCACTGAGGTTAGAAGACATGAGTTTCCTGAGAAAGATTTTTATGCACTTTTATTCTTTGCAAACTTTGCAAAAGATATGAAACAAAAACGAAAGATATTTAAATAACTACCAAAAACTTGAATTAATTTTAAAAGGATCTTAAGTGATAAATGAAGAAATAACTCAATGATTGTGAAGAGGCAGGACATTTGATCAAATTTGAAAAATACCTATTTTAATATATTAAAATATATATTTTTTATTCTATGCTAAATATGTCAAGCTTAGTCAAATAGAACATCAGTTTAGACATTAATTCATCATTAGATTTTGCTCTAGTCAAATGAAACACATAATTTAATCATCATATCATTACAT